ATACACTTCTGTCGACGCTAGACAACACGTGTCTAACCCGAAACGATTAGCTTTCACGAGATTTGACCTCATATCCAACAATTTGAAAGTAAATTTTATATAATTTTTAGTCAACCACATACCTTAATAAGCACATTGAAACTTTGAGAAATATTTATTGTTACCAAAAATTGAGGCGTTAACACCGGATCTATGAGGATTCTTTCTTAAATAAACATTCTCTAATACCAACATTAGCTAGCGAATCTTGAAGACAAATTAAGGTCAAATACTCCAAACTAATCTCGTGTTCTTGGTCGTTTCTTGGTGGAATCAGTCGGTCCAAATGCCGAAACCTACTATCTTTAATCTAGTGAACAATTCTTTTAGTCTCTTGCCTTCATCCAAACAAGTTCACGACCAAGAAAAGTTAGAGATCCCCTAATTACTCCCACACGACATTCATATGGTACCGTAAGGTTCATACCCCTAAGAGCTTTACCCTATTCGATTGAAACGTAATAACATTGTAATACAACCATGGTTTATTCGAACGAAAGTCAATACATAACTAAACAGCTGCTGTGGTTTTAAGCATCAAATTCTTAGAAGGAGAGAATTTGAAAGGTAAAGATCAACAAGGATATGTACAAGTACATTTGTGAAGGCCGAAACAAAGTCCATTGGCTTCGGATCTAAACTGCCGTCGGCAGTATGTCGTGCATAATGAATCGTTGCATATCTGTGGCTTGTATATTGGAAACCTAGTATGACAATTCTCCCCATTCACACTTCTCACCATCATGTCTTCTCCTACATTCAAAATCCAACATTTTTATGCTCAAAAAACATTCTTATAAGTAATGTAAAAGAAAAAATATGATCAAAGGAAGGATTACCACTGAAAAGAAGGAAAACAAGAAGCATCATCATGGTTGGAATGGACTTGGAATTCATGTTTCTTTTGTTTACCAATTTGCAAACTCTAAGCTCTGAAGTGTATTGGTTTTGATTAGTGGTATTATATACATAAACAAAGAAGAGTTGATTTAGTGTTTAGATATCTGTTTATGGGAAGTCTCGTGATTTTATGGTATGTGTTGCAATCTTTTATGGCTCTTACCTTTTGAATCATTATTGACAACAAGTTCCAACAAGGTGTATTTAATTATGGCTTGTAACCCTGAGGTATTTGAAAACACTTTTCTAAGTTTCTTAATATTTTATCCATCCAGATGAAGATATTATGAAACTACGTTTCTTTTATTTAGGGTGGTTGATGTTGATGTTAGTAGTTTTGACCTTGTGATCTTCACATGCTTATGAAGTTGTATATTTTTCGTTTGGTTTTATGGACCTTAGATAAGGTTTGTCTTTGCTAATCAAATACAACTTGTGTAGAATCTAAATTTGTTTGGTCACACACGCTGTCTGCATGTGCATTCAATCGTCTGCAATACAACCGATTTGTCTCTATACTAGGTAGAGTTATTTGGCTTGATCTTGCCTTTACTTGGGGTAAAGATCTCTCAATGCAATGTTGCATCTCATTATCTCATGCAAAATAAACATACATGCTCAACGGGGCGATAACTTTCATCAAACTCTCGGAATACAGAGCTCACAAATTCTCATTCTTCTTTCGCATGAATTAAACATATACATATATAGTTGAAGGTTAAAACATAATGGCAAAACTCAGATAATTTTCATAATACTTCATATTATGCATCTTGATAACCATATATCCTAAATTCATTTCATGCGAAAACTAATCTATACACTAGCATGCATGCAACAAAGCTAATCCTATAATCGTTTCTTCCTAATTTTGTGCAGGGACTTATGTGATTGACGCGTGCACTTTAACTTATGTTTCATCTTCTCTTCCATGCCCATTTTGTGTGGTGTGTTAGATGATGCATTATCCTCCTTAGTCGCATCAAGACACTGCTCTAGGTTTTCGTGTGGTCGGATGGACGCCACTTGAGGGTTGTCGCTTTGTTTGTAGCAACGTACAGATCACAATCTATTCTCTTTATAGTAAGGTTGTAACATTGTGCAGTCATAAAGCGGGTCATCTGAAGCATTTGTCTGTCTTCCTATTTGAGTTTTTTATATCTTGTTTTGTAGTTGTATCTCAAACTCATTTTCCCAAGCTTAATACGCCTAGGGAAACCGACCACATATCCCAAGTTGAGCCGAAGTTAGAGAGGGGTGTGGATCACGACCAGGTAGACGAGCCAATCAGGGTAAGGGGGAGCGTGTGTCAAAGTCAGGTGTAAGGCGCGACTCTTCGAGTAGAATTATGGGTCAGTTTGTGGATTGGTCATGGGTCAGTTACTAGATCAAATCGTGTATTGGGTCATTTTAGTATTGGATTAGGTCGTGGATCGGGCCCTTTGGGTACGATGCGTGGATAGTGGGTTGGGCGTTGGATGAGTGAAGATGGGTTGTTGAGTTTTGTTCATATTGCTTATGCATGAAATTGATGTATGCTAAGATATGAAATTGATATGGGTCTAGTAAGTTCTATGGGTATAAAAGTGGTACACCTATGCATTTTTCCATCCCAACAATAGTCACTTATGGATCATTTTGAATATTTAAACTATTTTTAAGACAAGAGTAAAGACATCTTAAAAGATGACAATTATTACAAGACGTAGAGAGTGCATGATGAATCGTTGCATGCCGGTGGCGAGAATATCGGCAACACCCTCTGGCATTGCGCCCCATTCACACTTCTAACCATCGTTTCTTCTCCTACACAAGCCCACCATCAAAACAAGAATTATGATGTGTTGATTATAGAATGAATGATTTAAGTAATGTAACCCATTAAGTGATCTAAACAAATATGCAAAATCTAACTGATGATAATGTTGATCATGTGAGTTATTTCTTTTGATCACTAGTGTGTATATATAGCGAAGAAGGAATCGTTTAATATCTAAAATAATTGGTGTGAGATACCACACATCAGTTGCAGAGATGAAACCTATCTCTAGTACATGCATTTTAAAATCATGAAGTCGACGATAATACGTAATGGGCTAAAGTCTATATGCTAGCGGTAGGTTTGGGTTATTACAAATGGTTTCAGAGTTAAACACCTAGGTGTGTGCCAACAAGAACGCTGACCTCCAAAATGGTAGATTGTGAGATCCCACATTGGTTGGAGAGGGGAACGAAACATTTCTTATAATAGTGTGAAAACCTCTCCCTGGTAGACGCGTTTTAAAACTGTGAGGTTGACGACAATACGTAATGGGTTAATGTGGACAATATCTGTTAGCGGTAGGTTTGAGTTGTTACAAATGGTATCAGAGTCAGAAACTGAACAATGTGCCAATGACGATGTTCGGTCCCCAAGAGGATGGATTGTGAGATCCTAGATCAGTTGAAAAAGGAACGAAACATTTCTTATAAGGGTGTGAAACTCTCTTCCTAGTAGACTTGTTTCAAAACCGTGACGCTGCAGACAATATATGCTAGCGGTGGGTTCGAACGGTTAGATTTAGTGTTTTTGGGTAGTATATAGATATTAGAATATTTGTTCGTTTGGTTTTTATTATTAATAGCTCTTTCCTTTTGGATTCTATGGTTCAAGATATGAAAATTGATAGATAGTAACAGCCACAATTTCCATTCAAAGAAACTTGATTAAGGCTTGTAACTGCCACAATTTCTCTGATTCTTATCTTGTAACCTAAAGTATTCAAATAGCCCATAAAAAAAGATGTTTGGAAATAATTTCTCCTTGCTTTTTAGGTCAAATTCTAACTTTCAAAATATATTTTCGACCGATTTACATGGTCTGAATTGGGTTGAGTTAGGAATTTTTTTTTTTACCCAACCCAAAAGTTCGGGTGGGTTGGATTGATAATCAAACCCAACCTAACTCTCTATTCGAGTTGGGTTATTGAGTTGTAAAAAATATTTAAGTTTTATTTATCTACAATTTATAATTATTTGGATACAATGTTATATAAAATATATTAAAAGTTCACAAACAAGCACAAATCCATCTATAATTATTCATAAAAAAAAAATAATAATAAAAAACTCAATAAAAAACAACAAACGAAAATGGCAACATATTAACATAGTTCAACATTGTCATAAAACTAAAGACAACAAAATATCGATATTTCTTTAGAATTTTTTAAAGTAAGAAAAATATAAGAATACATCACGAAATTAAATAAACATGTATATAACAAAAATAAAAATACTATTTTAATTACTATATGCTTACTTATATGTAACCGGATAAAGTTAGATAACCTAAACTATTAAAAAAATAAAAATCTATTAATACAGAAAGATTTTTATTATAATTTATATATTTTTATTTGACACGGGTCAATTTGAATGTTTTATCTCATGAACCCAAACCCGAAATCGAACAGATTCAGTTCGGGTTCAGAAAAATGAACCCTACCCTACCCAAAATATTAATAAAACCCAACCCAACCCAACCCTTATAGTTTGGGTTGAGTTGGTCCGGGTTGTCGGGTTAAATGTACACCCTTAATATTTAGAGAAAAATATTTGAATGTGAGCATGAAGGAAAAACCATTATATTCTCTATTTATGCTACTAATGTTGCAATGGTTTGAACGATCCATAAATCCTAGCCAAAGACCCGCATCGTCTACCTTGTCGTGATTCACACCCCTCTCAAACCCAACCCTCGTGGATTGTTTTGGGTCATTTTCTAAAATTTTAGACCATCCATAAGCCAATTTAGACATTAATGAAAGCTATTATTTAGTCAAAAGTAGATTTAATTAATGCCGCTACTATACCTTTGACTCGATGTCATGGATACACGTAGTACAAAAATAATTAATGACTCTAGCCAACCCTAGACCAACTCTTTTTCATTGGCTGACATAGACTTGGTGGTTGGGCCCATTCCTTTGAGGTTTAAGAGCGAGCCCATGGGCCATAATTAAGATTAAGGAGGCCCAATATAGGAGCTGGCACGGCAATACGTGTGAAGAAGCTATGGAGAGGGAAGAAAAAGTCTGGTAAACGTGGGTTCCTTGATCAGTGACGGAGAATACACAGCGTTGTCTCCGCTGCAAGACACCAATCTCGGGACACAGCTTAGACCAATTCCCTTGTCCTTCACTCCTTGCCCTATGGGCTTGTTGAGAGAGAGAATCCTCAACTATGATCTGCATATATACCTCGGATGACAACCCCTCCTTCCCTCTTGTCCCTCACAATCCATTCCGCCATCCATAATCTCTCTCGCATCTCCGATCTCTCCTTTCTCCCTGATCACGTCGTCCTTGATCTTTTCCTGGTACTTCTCACTCTCTCTCTCTCGCTCACGCTCTCTAATTTTACAGATATGGTTTAATTCATCGTCGTCTTGTTTTGGATTTGAATGCGTATTTGTAAATTTCCCACTTAGTTTGATGCTTTTTTTCTTCTGGGTTCTTCTATTTTTGAATCTTGGGTTGTGTTTGATCGTGGTGCTTGTTTAATTTGGGAGTTGGGGTTTGTTGATTGTTTATAACGTTTGGTCAACTCTATCTACAATCTTGGTTTTTATCGAGATTATGATTTCTGGTCTGTTGTTTCTGAAAATTGGTAGGAGAAAGGTTGTGTAGGTGGAGGGTGGAGTTTTGTTTTGTAGAAATGTCATTGGATGTTTAGATGATTATGTTTTTAATTTTCTCTGTGATTATATAAACGCTTGAGCTGTCTTATCCGTCATGGAATGTTGCGACACTAGTAATATTTTGATCCTCTCCATAATTTATATCCTTTTTTTTTTTTTTTTTTTTTTTTTTTTTTTTT